CTCACTCACTCATTCACTCACTCATTCACTCACTCACTCATTCACTCACTCATTCACTCATTCACTCACTCACTCACTCATTCACTCTCACACTCACTCATTCACTCACTCACTCATTCACTCACTCACTCACTCACTCATTCACTCATTCACTCACTCACTCACTCATTCACTCACTCACTCATTCACTCACTCACTCACTCACTCACTCACTCACTCACTCACTCACTGCCTCTCCATCGCAAGCAGGGGCGGTACCACCAGCGGGAGGCGCTGCGGCTTCCGCCAAGGGTGCTCCTGCGTCCCAGGGGGCTGACGCCTTCATCTACGAGGAGTACGGATTCCCGTCGGCGTGAGTTCTGCACGTATAACAAGCTTCTGAAGTGCATTGTGCTCGGTGCCCGTAGCGGTTGAATCGAAGCGTTTCGTACAAAAATTGCTAAACTCAAAAAACGAGACACAGCAAGTTCCGATGAGGACGAATGCTCAATGGACGAGAAAATTTGAAGTCAAGCTTTCGAGAAGAGGGTTTCAGAAGATATGTCACACTTCTAACCAAAGTTGTAAGCAGAGATTTCGTGCGCGGGAAACGGTCCTGTCTGGAAGTCAATACCTTTTTGGAAGTTGCGATCTTTCAAGGGGACAGAGAACCAGTATTTCCGAGGCAGGTGATGGATTAGCGCCCTGTATGTCCGCGTGTTCAACACATTTGTCCAACCTTTTCATTTCTGCTTCGAGGAAACGTGGAGAGGCTCGTCATCATCAGGAGCAGCATATACCTCGCTCGCAAACTTGACAGCTGCAGAGTCAAAGAGACACTAAAGGCAACTATTAAGTCGACGTTGATTGTTGAAATAGCGGTCCAGAAACCTCGTAGTGTTACTTTTGTGCCTAGGAAGGGCTTATTTTGAAAATGAAATCACGTTTTAGCGGTCCGCATCGGCTTAGCGCACTTCAAATTACCCGCCTCAAGAAGCGGCCCGACCGGACCGACTCGCGTCACCGTTGCCGTGCACAACGTTGCCCGGCTTTACTGCACTTGGAGCAGCAAACCGAAAGCAGCGGGAGCCACAACAGCTAAAACGGCCATTGATCATTTTCCCGCAATTGGCTTCGAGATTGCAGACCTTTTTTGTTTCAACTGCACCCCGCTAGATCGCAGCACCTGTTCCGTGTAACCACGCGAGAATTGAATTTTTGAACCACTCACGCCATTCCCCATAGCGGTTCTTTTTTCCATGAATCAAACAGAAACGAAGAATCGGCATTTTATTGCGCCTCTTGATGTACGGGAGGTTCTTTATTTAGTGCAGTTAGATCGATTACTAGTGAATAACTGTGGGCAGTCCGTCTGATGTCATCGGGATTATTTTGAAAACGTCCTACTCCGGAGCTTGTGTTCTTTTGCATTTACCTTAATTTCTCGGTAAGTAGGGCACTGTTGTTCATAATATTGTCGTTTTAGATGTTGTCATACATTAATTTGGGTCGGACATAAATTGTTATTTGGCTTTAGTGTCCATTTAAAGTAACGAAATTGCTGTAGTTACATTGCTTTTTGCTGTAATGAGTAATGTAACGGGTTACTTTTGTGGGCTGGTAAGTTGATAACGTTGCCTCTTCGAGGCAACGTTATCAGTAGGTCACCCTTTTCAGCGAAATGCGGCCTCTGTACCATGTGTTGCTCGTAGGCACCACTCACTTTCGGGGTCCGTTCATTTGAGCCGCTCATCGAGCAACCGGACACACACAATAAAAATTGTACAATAGATTGAATTACTTCTAGAGAGTTAATAAAAAATACTTATTTACTTTTTGTATTACTTGTTCCCCCAACAAAGCACTTCCGCCTTGGTTTATAGGGCGAAAAATACGGAGAAAGGAAAGAAAAGCAACAAAAACAGGTTATTCTGAGTGCCAAACGGCCACCACTGGAAGTTGACGAAAGAACCACAAGAGGACAGCTTGCGTATGCTGTATAAAGTGTACACGAAATGTCCATGAATATTAAACTTCTGATGAACTAACTTTAAAACGATTTCGTCGCTTTCATCCAGCTGTAACTTGTAACGTCAAATATTTTAAGGATATTTTAAAACGGCAATCTCCGCTTACTAGTGATGCGAATTCGTTGAATAAGGAACATTGACGTTTCGGCAAGGGGAGCTGTCCTCAGTATGGCAGTAATTGTAGCTACCCCCCCCCCCCCCCCCGAGGCAAACCTTTGCCCTTGTCGAAACGTATAGGCTCCGGGGACATTCATTAATCGTTCGGTGTCTCCTCGTCACTCGTGGAAACAGGAATTAGTACAAACAGAAGTACAAGATTCCCCAGGCATTGTTGGTTGACGTTCCGATAAGTTTTGAGGTTTTGGTCATCGGGGATGGCGTAGACGCAGTTAGACATGCAGTTAGGCATGCTCCCTTAGTGAAAGCCCTGCAGTGGGTAATCTTGATATTACTGATAGAAATAATTTACTCTGTTTCTGCGTGCTTCGCTGCGAATGTTGTTTAAACAACGACAATCTCCTGCCGGCCGTACTACGTCAGTCTTCGTCTCATGAGCGGCCACCTGTTATGCTGTTCTTGTACCAATTTCATCCTGCCAGGTGGCATCCTGCCAGGTGGCATCGCCATACTCGAGGCTTGTAGTGCGGCGCCGTCCGCAAGCTTCCTCCTCCTTCTTCTACCATCTGTGCATCCCTTCCTCCTCTACACACCTCGCGCGCTTCACTCCTCCACCATCTGTGCACCCTGCCTCCTCTACACACCGCGTGCGCTTCTCCTCTTCACGAACATTCGCTAGCTGTATAATGTAGCGCGCATGCGCCGTCACGCTTCGAGAACATCGGCAGCTGACGCGCGCGCATGTGCCGTTGCGCTTCTCCCCCTTCTCGAACATTCGACAGCTGACAGTGCATGCGCCGTCGCGCTGTATATATACTCAAGGTCGGCGCTCGCTCGCTCAGTTGCCGCTCGTCGGTTGGTTTGTACGGCGCGTCGACGTCCAAGGTCGCAGTGAAATGAATTGCAACGAATCCACAAATACAATGATCGACGTCCCTTCGACCAGCGCCGCCCTTTCGCATACGTGTGTACGTGTTCACTCATTTAGCACCCCCTCCTACAACCACGTTAACCAATTTAGCCATCGACCCAAGTAAGTCGCAATTTAACACCCCATTTCACAACCACGTTAACCAATTTAGCCATCGACCCAAGTAAGTCGCACTTTAACACCCCGTTAACCAATTATATGCTCTGCATCCTCCTCAGTGTTCCCCCGAGGGAAGCTGCGGGCAATTTTTTTTGTCGGCAGAGGGCTTTTTTAGTGCATAGAGTCGCATTTTCTGCACAACCTAAGAAACACTAAGGCCTTTAGAATTACGTATCTATGTATTTTCCGGCGAAACACCCCCCTCCCCCAAATACATGCGTATTGATGTTGCGATTGAGATACGCGCAATATTTGCTTTTAATTGATTGATATGTAGGGTTGAACGTCCCAAAAGCAACATATGAATATGAGAGAAGCCATAGTGAAGAGCTCCGGAAATTTAGGCCACCAGGGGTTCCTTAACGTGCACCCAAATCTGAGAACACGAGCCTACAAAATTTTTGCCTCCATCGAAAATGCAGCCGCCGCAGCCGGGATTCGATCCCGCGACCTGCGGGTCAGCAGCCGAGTACCTTAGCCACTAGACCACCCTGGCGGGACAATATTTGATTTTAGATCGACAACATGTTCAGAACTATGAACACCATCACCAGTTGCAGACGCCTCCACAAGGGCTTAAACATTGTCCGAGTGGCTGAATCGTGTGACATACATACATACATACATACATACATACATACATACATACATACATACATACATACATACATACATACATACATACATACATACATACATACATACATACATACATACATACATACATACATACATACATACATACATACATACATACATACATACATACATACATACATACATACATACACACATACATACATACATACAGACCAGAAGTTTTGCATTCAAGTATTGCAAGAAAGACTATTGTCTATAAAAATGTTTGGAAAATGAGACGCTGATAGACGAAGTTATGAACGAGAGAATCTCCAACGACCTCAAGTACGATTTCGTTACGCAGGGCCGAGCCCGTGCCAGCGGCCAACCCGCTGCTCATCTTCTCGGTGCTCGTGTCCTACTTTCTATTCGTGGCGGCCTGCTTCCTCATCATCAAGTATGCCTACCACGGCTATGGTGAGACTCGCATTTGCTGTTAGGGCGAAAGTCTTAAATACCTTATCAACCACGAAAAGGGACTGTCTGAGGCGTCAACACGAGCGATAGAAAAAAAGTCAAGTGACCATAGATTACTGCTCGATCCCACTGCCCACCATTTTACGTCATCACGACGTCACAAATGGTCCGAATTCGCGACGTCGCTATGACGTCATCTTGACGGCGCCATTTGTTCCCATCGGATGACGTCACTTAAGTAATGAAATTATGCTTTATAAGCTAGGCAAGATATGTGCCGTAGCGCAGAGAAAAAAAAACAGGTAACAGACGGAAGGCAAACTGACATTTATTCTACAAGTGCACCACTAAATGTAATGGGTGTCATAACCAGTCAGAGGGGGCCAATCGCGGAGGCAGGTGTCGAAATCTTCCATTCTTCCCATCCTGGTGGTGGTGCAAAGCTTTGTTAGGCGAAGGAAGTTTTCGGGGTGCGCTGGGGGGGGGGGGGATCAATACAGAATAAGGTGGTTTTCACTTTCCAGTCTTCTGAAGGGAATGCCTTCTTACTTTTTTTTTCCCATTGGTAACATGCATTCCCACCAGAGCAAGCGTGACACTTTCACTGCGATACCTGTTGTAGACAACTCCGATTGTGCCCGTTTGTCTTCTATATCCGATCGTATTGCGTAAAGCACACTTCGGCTTTATATTTGCGTTCCGCGTTTTGTCACGCGCCGCAGATGTGAACGCACCGGACGTCCACACGGTGACCAGCAAGGAGATCCACGCACCGCTCCAGTTCGACGAGCAAGGTGAGTCGCACAGACAACGCAGCAGCGTGTGAACTCGAGCCTGCTGGCACACATTCATGGTAAAATACGGGGCGAAAACAACGAGAAAGAGGAAGCAGTAACAAAAACAGAGCGCTGTCCTTGTCGCGTATTCAAGACCCGAGCCCTATACACCAAGAACTTCCCTTTGTGCTACAGCCTGAACGCCGAAGGTCTCGCTGTTGGGAGGGCACGAGCAGTCGGAACAGAGGGTTTCGGCACCGGAAATATGTCGCGTATTCAAGACCCGAGCCCTACACCAAGAACGTCCCTTTATTCTATTCCTCGTGCCTAACTTTTACTTTGTCTTCTACGACGTTCTGCTCCTTGTTGCCGCCCGTTCGCAATCATCAGCAACAGTCCCGTCTCTTCCTTCTCTTTCTTGTGGTTTTCGCGCTGCATTTGCTACGTGAGAGAACGCCCTCACGTGTTTGACTCACTTTGCACCGTATATCCATGTCACACGGCGCATGTAATATTAACTAACGCTAGCTGACAAATAAAAGACTGGGAAAGTATAAGAGACGTTAGTTGTAATCATTGTGACGTAAATAGGGAGAGAACAAGGTAGATAAAGACTATATATATATATATATATATATATATATATATATATATATATATATATATATATATATATATATTATATAATATATATATATATATATATGAGATATAACAGACAGTAATGCCAAGGAATGTACAGGGGAAGTTATTAGAACCAATGGAATGTAAATAAGAAGAAAGAAGAAAGAAAAGTGGATGAAAAAATTACCAACTGTGAGCAGGAATCGAACCTACGACCTTCGAATTACGCGTTTTTTCATCCACTTTTCTTTCATCTTTCTTCTTATTTACATTCCATTGGTTCTAATAACTTCCCCTGTACATTCCTTGGCATTACTGTCTGTTATATCTCATTAATATTGTGTTAAAACACGGAAAAACGAGCCCTTAGGTATACACTTCTTTCCCTTATTTTATATATAATATATATATATATATATATTATATATATATATATATATATATATATATATATATATATATATATATATATATATTATATATATATACATATATATATAAACGATATGTGCTTCACATATGCAAATGTATACCCTCTAAACTGTAGGGGGCTTACCACCACTGTAGCTTAGTTGGTATAGAGCATCGGACTCGTTATTCGAATGTCGTAGCTCCGGTCTCGGCATGCGGAAAGCTATCACTTCGCCAGATTTGCTTTGTTTACGTTTAATTACACTTACTTCTAATAACATCCACAATAATTTGCTAGGTTTTCTAGCCTGCTTTAATTATTCTTGTGCTAACGAGTCCCTAAATCACTCAGTATTCGGCGCATGTTATATCATTGGAAGAGCATGATATTAGGTATAACTGCGGTTTTTTTATTGTTGCTGCATCACGGGTATACAATGCATCACATTCACAGCTCATGGGAGCTCGTCCACTGAGTGAGTTTCAAAACTGATGCACCCACGACACGTGTAATCTCCACGACAGGAACACTGAATAAATACAAAATTGATTACTAACACTAAATTGTTATTCGAGTTAAGGGTCGTATTGGTGGTTGTTGTTTACCTTTCGACCACTTTTTGACGTACAGCACGATAGCTGAAGTAACTTGTGCAACTTTATTCTTATCTCGAGGAACAAGGCAATTAAACGAGAGAGTAGCCAGGTAATCTAATGCATCTTTCGCATTGTGGCTTCTTGTATTGTGGCAGCAGAGTTTTCACCCTCGAGTGATAGAGGGGGGTAACCTGCTGCCAAATTTTCTTCTCGATGGGAAAGCCCTGAAAAAGCTCGTTCGCGAAATGTCGGTGTAGAGTTTGGTGTCGACGTTGTTTGTAGAGCTTGAAAATCTTGTCCGCGACGGTAAAATCGATGAAGGCTCCAAAAAATGAATGATTGAAAATCTTCGGCTTGACTGAGAATGGAACTCTGGCCCTGTGCGTGGCAAACAGGTGCTCTATCCACAGAGCGACGCAATACCTCGAAACTGCTTCTGAAAAAATCCTATATGAATGTCACGTAGAGAAAGGAGTCTCCTTAAAGCATAATAGTATGCCGTGACTGGAAAGGTTGCGATCGCGCCAGACATCGAAACGCGTGAATTGCACCAAAAGAAGGTGTTCTAAAGGCTTATAGACGTTACAAAGTGGTGAGAAATGTTGAATCATCATCGGCTGCTAAAGCATCAAGAGAGTGAGCACCCCCGTACGAAGAATTATGGCGTAGTGGGCACTTAACAACTGCACTTGCAGTATATAGACAATGTAATATAGCTTGAAACAGATAATGTTACGTGCACAGTCGTTCGTTTGAGCCATGTGCCTGCCGAGAAGTCAAGTTAGCTTAACAATTGAGACGGTGATGGGCACGGGGCCCCAATTACGATATCGAGTTGTCCTCTTGAAGGCTAAGGTATACAATGTCCTCCAAGTCTTTTTTTCTTTTTTTTTTCAAGACCTTGAGGACAGAACGACAGGCAAAGCAAGGCGCTTCACAGATGGTCGTAAGTATGAGCAACAATACTTTTTTCAAAGGGGCACCAAAGAACTATTCATTTTTTATTGTATCAGTAGATGCTATTCTCAATTACAATACAAAATTAACCACAGTCAATTACAACACAAAATTAACACGCTTTGACCGAGAAGACGCCGGGTAAGCTGACAAACGCGCATTACTGCCATTATATTGCCATTATATTGCCATTATATCATAACTGCCATTATATTGTTAGCCTTTGTAATACCCACTCCATTATGTAATATCCCAACCGGGACCTTTGAAGTAATAAAATGAGTGAATGAATGAATGAATGAATGAATGAATGAAAAAAAATGCGTGTGGCGACGCCATCGTGAAGTTCTCGCACCGATTGTCGTGATGTAATACACTTTAAGGCGTCCTGTAGCACCTGCCTAGTTTTTATTTGGCAAATAGGAACTAAATTACTCTGTCACGAGGCCACAGACTGAGCGTACCATGTTTGAGAAAATTCAGTTGTGCCAGCGTGGCTGAAATACGGACAAAAACATTTAGAAATTTGCGACTTCGGGTGCGGAGATTTAGGCGCGAAATTTAATTAAACTCTCTCTTTTATTTTTCTTCAATCAATGGACATATGATTGGAAAAGTTTACTCCAGTACTGTTTTAAGAGACTAATTTATCAGTCTATAAGAGAGTTGAACGTTTCACTTCACTGTTTATGTGAGGCCGTTAGACGTACAGCTGCCCGCAGTGTTGCACGCAGGATGCTTTGATTATCTTAAGTGTGTGATTATCTCTTGCATCGCAATGGGATGTCTTATCTATTCTAAAAGGCAGGACACGTGAACGCTGACAGAAAAAAAAAAACGAGTCAAGTAAGACACTACAGAGGCCGGCTAACAGCTGAAGGTGCGCACAACGGCGCAAAAGAAAGAAAACACAAAAAATTATGTGCGCATGCAATGCAATCATCCATCATCATCATCAGCCTGACTACGTCCACTGCAGGACAAAGGCCTCTCCCATGTTCCGCCTGTTAACCCGGCCCTGTGCTTGCTGCTGCCAATTTAAACCCGCAAACTTCTTCATCTCATCTGCCCACCTAACCTTCTGTCTCCCGCTAACCCGCTTCCTTTCTCTGGGAATCCAGTTAGTTACCCTTAATGACCAGCGGTTATCCTGTCTACGCGCTACATGCCCGGCCCATGTCCATTTCCTCTTCTTTATTTCAACTATATATGATATCCTTAACCCCCGTTTGTCCCCTAATCCACTCTGCTCTCTTCTTGTCTCTTAAGGTTACACTTACCATTTTTCTTTCCATTGCTCGCTGCGTCGTCCTCAATTTAAGCTGAACCCTCTTTGCAAGTTTGCAATGCAATAAGTGAACCCATAAATCTAGCTACGCGTGGGGCGTCTACGGCACATATACATGCACGGAATGCACGAAAGGGATAGGTGCGCGGCTCGCGAGAAACTCTTCGTAAGATTTCTACAAAACTTCACGTTCGTGATTGTCATGTATATGTCTTTCGCGGTTCATGGCCACGGTTCTGGGTTTAAACGTGCTAGCTGGAGATTGGTCTTTTTTTTTGTGAGCTTTGGTTGAAATGTGAAAAACGTGTTCCGTACGCAGACACCTCAGGACGAAGTCGAGGTTCGAAAGCAGCACCCGGCCGTCGTCGCAAAGCTGGCCACGGTAAGGGGTTCGAATCTCTTCCGTATAGCTCACGGAATGCGCGGCATGCACAGCCATACGGTTAAGCAGCCGAGCGCGCAATTGGCGGTGGTTTAACTACCGGCTCTGGCAGAATGGTCTCGGCAGTAGAAGGGTATTAAGGTTCAGGCAAAAAAAAAAAAAAACGGTGTCGTACGCAGTACAAGTTGATTCGAACGCATCGCAAGCGGCATCACTTATTTCTCAGTTTACACAGTGATGCGCGGCTGGAAGAGATCGGATAGTCTGAAAAAAGAAGTCGGATGGGGGTGCATGCTGCGTCGGGGGTGATCGATCGATTGACAGATCAATAAATAAATAAATAAATAAATAAATAAATAAACAATCTCTACATCGTAACCGCTTCAAGAAACTCAATAAATAAGTGAACTGTTAATCAGCAAGTCAATGAGCCAAGCGAGAGACAAAGTAATAACTTAGTTATTTAGGTAATGGATGAAGTGACCGATAATTAACGGCACCACTTCAATGACGCAGGACGCCGAAAGAAGGGTGCCAGGAAGCCAGCACGAAACAAGAGTAAGTGTGATAATCAAAAACATACGAGTTTGGTTAAGGGAAAGTATTGTACCTCATCAGGACGCGAAATTTTAAAAATAGCATGTGGTGGTGCTTTCGAGCAGCACCATGTCGACATCAAAGCGCAAGGCTGAGCGACTCAATAGACTGAATTTCGTTCTCCTCTCGTCAGCGAGTGATGAAGTGTGCCAAGGAAATAGTAGGCTATACTTAATTGTCCTCGATCGGTTTTCTACTTTCGTTTGCATTTCACCAAGGTGGTGCAAGAAAAATGTCATCTACTCGTTTGTAGCACGAGTTTTTGTGTCTTTGTTTAGTGCAGCCGTGTTAGGGTGACCACCCTTTAGACTATCGGCATGCGGAACACGCTGACGTGGTTTAGAAGAAGGGGGGTGGGGGAAGGGTTGTAGTAGACGATCTGTCGAAACACAAATCACCATTATTTACATCAACATAAAAATTTGCGAATAAAAAATAGACACTTACAAAACAGCTGCGGCTGTATTGCAAAAGTTTTTCGGTTAGGCACTTGTGAAGTACACGACACCATTCGTTTTACATGTTTGAAGACCGTATACACTGAAGTCATAAGCTTGGCGTTCTAGCAGCTAGCACGCCCCGCCGTGGTGGTCTATAGTGGCTAAGGTACTCGGCTGCTGACCCGCAGGTCGCGGGTTCAAATCCCGGCTGCGGCGGCTGCATTTCCGATGGAGGCGGAAATGTCGTAGGCCCGTGTGCTCAGATTTGGGTGCACGTTAAAGAACCCCAGGTGGTCAAAATTTCCGGAGCCCTCCACTATGGCGTCTCTCATAATCATATAGTGGTTTTGGGACGTTAAACCCCACAAATCAATCAATCAGCAGCTAGCACATCCTCTAATAGGTGGCCTTGAGCACCTGAACTGAAGACGCTGCTGAAGCAATAATAACGAAGTTTGTAGTGCGGGTCATTCTTGAGGAGTTTCACATATTTCGCCCCGATTTCCTGCCGACAGCTTTCAGGAGTTTGGTTCAACGAAAGAATACTCCGTGAGGCTCAACGACTGCGAAAAATTGAATCGCGCGAAGCGTGGAAGTGGGAACGACGTCTAAACGCGACGAAGTGCCGCAGTGGTGTTGGTGCCACAGAGTATAAAGTTGGGCATGTTGGTAAGACATAGTTGATCGATGTAGCGCGCTTAGAAATATAGGACAAGGGAAGGGACAGAAGGGAGCGCTTATGGTGTGCGCTCCCTTCTGTCCTGTGGCGCACACCAGTCTCTGCTAAGGGAGATGGGACAGGTTACGACTGGCGGCCGCCATATGCACGACGTCTTCCTTGAATTTCGAACTTCCAACTGCTCGGCGTACTATACGCGTTCGCTCCGGGTTTCAGGACTTCGCCGGGGTTCCACGGCGTCGGCCTGGGAGAACGAGTGGGTCACCATGCTGGACGATGACCTGGACAGCATGGCCGAGACGCTGGACTCGACGGCCACCACAGCTGCATCCTATGGCCGACTCCGAACGGCCAACTCCACGGTCAAGACCAGCGGTGAGAACTAATTGATATCATTTTAACATACGGTGTAGTATCGCAAATTCCACGGGGACACAGAGGACAAGAGGAAACACGACACTCGCTCCACTCGTAACCAAGTTTATTTCGGAAGCAGCACTTCATATATGACCCAGATCCCTAGCGGGCACAGAAAAGAACAAGGAACATAGAATCATTGCCAAACAAATTTTTGCGCACACTCAACTGATAGTACACGTCAGATAAGCTTGGGCACATTAGATGATATAACAAGTGACAGCGCTTCGTATCGTAGAGAACAATGACGTGGAATTTGCGCTACTACACCATATGTTAAAATGATATCTCACGAACTGGCCTCATCTCTCAACCCTACTGTGCTACTTGATTATCCCAGAAATAACTTGATAGCTTTAGTTGTTCAAGTAGCTCCTTGAGACACAGCGCCTACTCATGCGGACAGGGTCGCCGTGGCGTGGACTTGAGAAGGCACCAGAACTCAAGCCACAAATAGGCAGACTAGCCGTATAACTTAATATTATCGCCTAATTTGTGTTCAAATAGAATCGGAGCGCTATTATGAACAGAGCCTTTACTAAAGATGAAATAAATGAAACCATTTTGAATAAGTCAAACCACAATGTTAAAAGTGGCGACAAAATGGTCATGGCATGTGCCAGCTGATAATAGTCGTCACGAAAGGGGTCGAAGAGAAGTCACTAGCGGGAACCCTCCATGTAGACGCAGCACGATGGCAAGTCAGACCAGTTAGGAATCATCTTGAACTTCGTTGCGGCGCAATGCTAGACAAGGCCACAAAGAAGGAAAAAAGACGACTCGGCGCCTGACTCTATGCTCATGTTTTTTTTTTCATTGAAGAACTGTGAAACCTATTTGCGTACTGAGCACGAAAACCGAGGCATACGCAAGGCACGAAGACGCATCTATGCAGAATTGTAAGGAGCGAGAAAAAAAAAAAAACGGTGCTAGAATGACTGGACAAGCAAGGACGCAGACCACGGCGCTGTGGTCCCAGAAACAGACCACAGAATGACACACCGAACACAGAAGGACACAGACCACATACGTCGTGGTCTATGTCCTTCCTTGTCTATTTAGCGCTGTTTTGTCCACTCATGAGCAAGAAACAACCAGCCCAATTCGTAACCTGCAGCATTGTCAGAATTACACATAAATAGATAAGCGAATGTGGCTAATTCATTGTCATGAAGAGCTATTGACAGTTCACTGATGAAGTCTTGTCCCTAATCGTCAGTCTTGCAGCCCTTAACGATTTCTCCGGTCAGTTGACTCGAATGTATAAGAATGGACGGTGGATTCGTTGGCGATTGGGTGAACTGTCTCGATTCTAGTGACCGGAAATGCTCCGGTAATGAAGTTGCGTGGTCTCTTGAAGGAAAAGTTCATGATCTTTTAGTCGAAGATTCGCCCACGGTTTGTCAGCCCCATTGGCACAACGAAGTTCAATATCACAATGCAACTTGCTTCGCCGGTTCTTAGAACTTTTGGCCAGAAATACTAGCTACATTTCGCATTAGTCAACTTCTCTCGGCTTTGAAAAATAAAGTTCTCTCTCTCTCTCTCTCTCTCTCGGCAGCCGACCACTTTGGTGAGACCACTATGCGAAATGTTCGGTATAGGGTGCTCGACGCACCACGTTCCATAACGAACATCAAATGTATCTTGCTTAAATGCGAATACAACCAAAAACAAATTGCGCGTTCATTTCAGGCCCACGAATGGATTATTTTTATGTAAAAAAATTAAACATGACCGTTAGTAGTATAATAAAATATTCAATGAAAACGCTCGTTGACATTAATTACCGCAACTCGCGCAAAACATTACTTCAGTTCCTTTGTCAGAATGTATAATCGAGTGTCGTGAATATGTGCGAACTCGACATACTTGAAGACAGTTGGTCCTAATTCGAACTTGAAAAGGATAGATTTATAGCTCGTCTGTGCGCGCGCGCAGAGATTTTAGTCTACAATACAATTATATACGTATAAAATCAGATTATTGCTTTATTATAAGAATAAATTCGTTTATGTAAATATTTGTATGCATTACATTAAGCACCACACTTTCCTAGGCTATCGGTAATCTTTCTGTTATACCTCCATCATTTCCAATCTGAACAGTAAATTTTAAAACCACTCGATTCTTGGCCAATCCCCTAAAGTGGGTATGCGCCAACAACAACAACAACAACAACAACAACAACAACAACAACAACAACAACAACAACAACAACAACAACAACAACAACAACAACAACAACAACAACAACAACAACAACAACATTGCGGAGAGAACATCGATAATTTCAGGGGAAATGCGACAGTGGTTTACAGAACAGAAGAATACGTGTATTTATGAGCATATTACCAAAACTCGGTTGACAAAAAAATTCCAGTATTCTAGGAACCAAGTGAAGGATTACCCACATTACTGATGTTCCTCTGGGGCACAGAACACACGTTCGCTGTAATTGCACTTTGTTGATTTTGTAGCGTTGCAGCTGGTGGAAGAAAGATAAATGACGTCGTACCATTTCCCTGTCTTGCATGATTACACTAATGAAATTAGAAGAAGCATGTATGCGTGCGTGCGTGCCTGCGTGCCTTGTTGTGTGTCTCGTCGGGTACACTTCAAAGGCCCATGCGTACAAGCCTGCACCAATAGGTGCGCACTCCACACTGACGTCACGAGCCGGATGGCTGGTGTCTCCCCCTAGTGTAAGCATTGTGAAGTACATGAGAGGGACTATATTTATTTTCGGAGACGATTACCTGCCACAGTTCGGTCCACATAGGCGGTGCCTTTCTGTGCATTTACTTTTACTACCCCCAACATAGTTGTTTTCTGCCCATGTGCTTCCTTAACGCTACAAAAACTATA